GGAGGCAGAGGTTGCAGTGAGCCAAGATCGCGCCATTGCACTCCAGCCTGGGCAACAAGAGTGAAACTCCATCTTACATAAAAGGAAATTACATTTCCTTTTTTGAAGTCAGATTTACTGTAGTAGAATTTACTCTATAGAAAAATTCACTCTTTTCAGGAGTATAGTTGGATCTTGACAAATGTGCCTATGTAGTTGTGAAACCACTTACCACAATCAAGATACAGAGTATTTCCATCAATATTCCAATACCCCTTTGTAATCAATCCTCTTTCCCTATTCTCAGCTCCTGGCAACCCCTGATCTGATTTCTCTCCCTATAGTTTCTCTACTCCAGAATGTAACATAAATGGAATGATATCATACATATTCTTTTGTGTATGGCGTCTTTCATTTTGCATAATGCTATTGACTCAACCATGTTTGCCTCTACAAGTAGTTATTTTTATTGCTGAGTTGTAAGATTCCACTGTATGGATGTACTGCGATTTGATTATCCACTTACTGATTGATGACCATTTGCAGTTTTCCAATATTTGGTGATGATGAGTAAAGGCTCTGTAAGCATTCTCAGATAGCTCTTTGTGCAGACATGGGTTTATATTTCTGTCATTTAAATACCTAGGAGCAGGATTATTAGGTTGAATGGTAAGTACATGGTAACTTTATCAGAAACCACCAAATTGTTCTGTAAAGTGCCTGTGCCATTTCATGTTCCCAGGTGTAACGTATGAGTGTTCCAGTTGCTCAGCATCCTTGGTAGGCATTTGCAGAGTCAGGTTTTAAACAGCCATCTGATATGGTTTTGTTGTGTCCCCACCCAAATCTTATCTTGAATTGTAATTCCCATAATCTCCATGTGTCATAGGAAGGACCCCATGGGGGGTAACTGAATCATAGGAGTGCTTACCCCCATGCTGCTGTTCTCATGATAGTAAGTTCTCATGAGATCTGATGTTGGGATTTTCCCCCTTTTGCTCAGCACTTCTCCTTCCTGCCACCATGTAAAGAAGGATTTGTTTGCTTCCCCTTCTTCCATGACTGTAAGTTTCCTGAGGCCTCCCCAGCAAAGCAGAACTGCAAGTCAATTAAACCTCTTTCCTTTATATATTACCAAGTCTTGGGCAGCCTTTTACAGCAGCATGAGAATGGACTAATACACCATCCTAGTAGGTGTGTACTACTGTATCTTTGTGGTTTTAATTTGTACTTCCCTAATGACTAAAGGTGCTGAGCTTCTTTTATGTGCTTTTTTGTTATCTGCAGCAGTCAGCCTCCAAAGTGAACCCTCAAATGATCCCTAGATACTGATATTCACAGTCCTATGTAGTGTTTTCCTAAATTCAGTAGACTGTGTAACAAACAGAATATGCAGGGATGATGGTGTGTGACTTCTGGGGTCAATCATAAAAGCCATTAGTGCTTCCTCCTTGATCTCACTTGGCTCACCCACCTTGTTGGAAGCCAGCTGCCATGTTATGAGGATGTTCAAAAACCCTACAGAGAGATCCATGTGACAAAGCACACATGCCTTCTGACAATAGCCAGCACCCAGCTGCAGGTAAGCCATTTTGAAAGCAGATCCTCAAGCCCCAGTTAAGGTTCAAATGACTTGCTGCCCTGGCCAACATGTTGACTACAATGTCAATGAAAATCAGAACAACCAGCAAAGCTGCTCCTCTTTTACTGAGCTGCAAAAACTGCGAGATAAAAAATGTTTAGCATAATTTTATGACACCAAGCTTTGTAGTAAATTGTTATGCAATAATAGATAACACAGCATTCATATCTTCTCTTTGGAAAAATATCTGTTCAAACCTTCAGTCTGAATTCTAAATTTAGGTTTTTTTGTTACTTCAGATAAAAGAGTTATTTGTGTATTTTTGATTTAACTCCTTCATAAGATAAGTTTTTATAAATATTTTCCCCTGGTTTTTGACATTTAAAAAATTTTCTTAATCACATCTTTCTAGAGAAGTATTATATTTTGATGTAATCCAATTTGTCTATTTTTTGTTCTCTTGGCTCATGCTTTTGGTGTCATATTTAAGAAATCTTTGCAGAGTAAAAGGTCATCAGTTATTTTCCTACATTTTTCTCCAAAAGTTTTATAAACTTAGGTTTTACAAATCTAGGTTTTACACTGAGACATATGATCCATTTTGAGTTGTTTTTAAATATGGTTTGAGTTCATTTTTCAAACATGTAATTGTTCCAGCATCATTTCTTCGGAAGAATATTCTTTCTTCATGAAATAACTTTGATGCCTTTGTCAAAAATCAATTAATTATATGCACATGTTTTTATATCTAGTCTATCTTCTATTCCATTGTTCTATATGTCTACCCTTCTACAAAAATTCATTGGCTTTATTACTCCAGTTGTATGGTAAATCTTGAAATCAGGCAGTATGAATCATCTAACTTTGTTCTGCTTTTTCAAAATTTCTTCTGCTATTCTAGGTAATTTGCTTTTCCATATACATTTTTTAATACATTTTTTTCAGTTTCTATTTTAAAAGCCTGCTGAGCCACACACCTACAACCATCTGATATTTGACAAGGTTGACAATAACAAGCAATGGGGAAAGGACTCCCTATTCAAAAAATGATGCTGGAATAACTGGCTAGTCATATGCAGAAGATTGAAACTGGATCTCTCCCTGACACAAAAATCAACTCAAGATAGATTAGACTTCAATGTGTAAACTAAAACTATAAAAACTCTATAAGGAAACCTATGAAAAAACAATTGCAACAGAAACTGACAAATAGAACCTAGTTAAACTGAAGAACTTCTGAACAGAAACAAACAAACCCTCAAACTATCAACAGGGTAAACAGACAACCTACAGAATGAGAGAAAATATTTGTAAACTATGCACCTGACAAAGGTCTAATATCCAAATTCTATAAGGAACTTAAATCAATAAGCAGAAAACAACCCCATTAAAAGACGGGCGAAGGACATGAACAGATGCTTCTTAAAAGAACACATAGACGTGGCCAAAAAGCACATGAAAAAAAATGCTCAACATCACAAATCATTAGAGAAATGCAAATCAAAACCACAATGAAATACAATGTCACACCAGTCAGCATAGCTTTAGATGATTAATTTTTTTTACTAAACGTCAAAAAATAATAGATGCTAGTGAGATTGTGGAGACAAAGGAACAATTATACACTGCTGGTGGGACTGTAAATTAGTTCAGCCATTGTGGAAAGCAGTTTGGAGATTTCTCAAAGAACTGAAAAAACTACCATTTTGATCCTCACCCTCCTTACAGCAATCCTATTCCTGGGTATATATACCCAAAGGAATATAAATCATCCTACCATAATAACACATGCACACACATGTTCATCGCAGCACTATTCACAACAACAGAGACATGGAATCAGCTTAGATGCCCATGAACAGTGGACTGGATAAAGAGAATGTGGTACATATACACCATGAAATACTAGGCAGCCATAAAAAGGGAATGAAGTCCTGTCCTTTGCAGCAACATGGGTGCAACTGAAGACCATTATCCTAAGCAAATTAACACAGGAACAGAAAACCAAGTACCACGTGTTCTCACTTATATAAGTGGGAGCTAAACATTGACTATATATGGATACAAAAAGAGGAACAATAGACACCAGGGCCTACTTGAGAGAGGAGGGTGGGAGGAGGATGGCGATTAAAAAAAAAAACTACCTATTAGTTACTATGCTCATTACCTGAATGACAAAATTATTTGTATACCAAATCCCAGCAACACATAATTTGTCCATGTAACAAACCTGCACATGTACTCCCTGAACCTATTATTACTAATTTTACATAGCTTTCAACATACATATCTTACACATACTTTATTAGAATTACCTCTAAGTATTTGATATTTTAGTGCTGTTTTAATGGTACTGTTTTATTAATTTTTATTTTTTATTGTCACTATAGTGAATTACGATTTTCATTCATGGACTTTTTATCCTGTGACCTTACTAAACTCACTGATTAATTTTAGTAGCTTTTTTGGAGAGTTTTGGATGATTGCATAAATCATCTGTCCTAGTCATCATCTGGGGCTAGGACCTCCAGTACGATGTTAAATAGGAATGATGAAAGCAGACATCTTTCATGTTTGCATTATCTTCAACTGTAAGATGAAAGTATTCAGACTTTCCCTATTAAGTTACCAGCTCCAGGCTCTTTATATATTCCCTTTATTATCAAGTTGGGGAAACTGTCTTCTGTTTTTAATTTGTTGAGAGTTGTTTCATAATGGATGCTAAATTTTGTCAACTGCCTTTACTGCCTCTATTGACATGATCAAGGCTTTTGTCCTTTTTTTAGCTTGTTGATATGGTGATTTACATTTATTGATTATTTTGAATGCCGATCCAACCTAACTCCTTTAAAAACCCACCATTGTATAACTTCACTCTACCTATGCATCCATATTTTACAGGAGGTGCAATCACAACCCCTAAGCTGTGGTTTCTCACTATGCTGTTTAACCTTTGACGTGCAATGCTCTTTTTCCTTCACCTATCAAATCCCCATCTCTTTAATTCCACCTCCTCCGTGAAGCTATCTCTAATTACTTAAACTCTGTCTCCATGGGCCAATCATTTGGAGATGAACACTCTTCCAATCCATTTTTCACTAGCAAGAAGCCATGTCAAGAAGTGGGAGAAATTGCTGGGGTAAGGGAGGCCTAGAGTGAGGACAAGAGTCAGTGGGGGAGAGTACTTAGGAGGCAGGGTAGAATGATATTTGAGGATCACAGTTGGTATTTTTCTCCCAGGACAACACAGGGAATTACTTTATTTCTGGGGAGATTCCAGTAATATATAATCACAGATAACCTTCTCCCTCCCTTAATGTTCTTGGAACAATTCTGGAAGATGGTGATCTTTTTTTTCCCTTGTGTGTTACTGCAAAGAAAAAGAGAACCTCTTGTTTCACCCAAAATTCTTTGCAAAAATATGGATACAATAATAAGGTAAAATGTTACATTTATTTATTCAACAAATGCACAGTAGCACCTTGTATGAGCCACTTTGCTAAGCTTTTTTACTATATGGGATACAAAAATAAAACCTATTTGACATTTCTGAATTTAACTATATATACTATCTTGTATATACTTATTCTTTGCATTGAAATCTTCACTCTTGTAATTTCCCACCCCAGATATATTCAAGGAAAAGTGCTATTTTATTCAGTATACAAATATATGCTTACAAAAACACATTAACATCAATTTAGCACTGTTTTGCATCACTTTACACAACCAGTTTCATTATCAAATAATCATAAAAAATAAACTTTAATTTTTAAAAACTTTGAATATTTCCTCATAATCTTTCTCATAATTTCTCTAAATAGAAAAATGTATCTAAAATATAGAAAACTGGTTCCCATTAAAAATTAAGCATAAAATACACCTTGGTTAAAACCAACTTTTAGAATTAAAACAGTATGTGACTCTAAACAGTGCAGTTTTGGCAGTCAGGATTTCCTGTGATGAAACTGGCATCTGTTTTCATGGAAGTATTTTGTTAGTTATGCATCTGGACATCTTCAGCTTTTGGCCTTAATAACAGTTTTAGATGATTATTAAGTTACCTGGATAAGAAAATTCAAATTGCAAAATATTTATTTTTAAAATGTATTTGTCTTAGTGTGGCAGACATCCTACAGAGTAACTGCCTGGTAAAATAGAAATTACCAAATATATTGGATTAGCACTTACCCACCCCCTCGGATCAGAATCTTAAGACACAACAGTAAAACTTTGGTGATTTCCACGATCCAAGATGAAAAACAAAGAAGAAAGTCTTATACTGTAAGTAATAGTGGGGATTTTTCTCTCTTATATTAGAACTTAGCTAAAGTTCAGCTGGAATTTACAGGGTTGAACGGTCAGAATCAAATGTATGGCTTGAACAGAAAACATAAATGAGTTGTTATAGGAATTATAGGCTAGGATACTTGATGAATTCCAGTTTAATCTTACTCACAATCAAAATACTGTGTCTGAATTCTATCTTGAACAATTTAGGAGTCATCTGCCTGGGAAAGTCTGTATTTCCCTTTCTTCAATACTTGGACACTCTGATTTTTGGTATGCTTTTCTAGTTAAGCCTTGTGGATGCAAAGTAAATCATTTATTAGTTCTAGGGAAAGATGTAATGGTACAGGAATGAACAGCATAATACAGTGTATAAAAAGGGCTGTTTCTAAGTATACAGCTATGTAGAGAGTATTCTTCGGTGCCTGGCTATAAATCATCCATGCAAACCAATAGACACAGTCCAGAATGTTAAGACTGAGAGGGAATATGGGAAGGACCCAGAGGGAAGAGGAATACTTTGTCCATTCCTTGTCAGCTCCCAGAGGGCAATTCCATATTATGGAACTAATTTCCACAAACACACAGAAGTCCACCCTCTGCATATTCCCAAGCTCTCTTTCTCTGTTCATACCCTCCTCCTTGTAAGGGGTGTCTGTTGTGTTATTTAAGAATATTCAATTATTTTGTAAAAGACAAGAAAAGCAAATATAATTGATACAACTCTCAAGAAATACTAAATATAAATAGTAAGTATAAAAGGAGCTTGTGAGACACAGAAGCTCATAGTAGGTATTAAGCATAGATAGCAAGTTAATGACCTGTGAACTACATCAGATACAGGGAGAGAAAGAAGCACATCAGTGTGTTAAACAAAGGTGGGGATGGAAAGACCAAAGGCAGCAAAAATTCATGGTCTGTTAAAAGTTGATGAGTTAAGAGAGAGGCCAAATGTAATATTCATGGGACACTGAATAGGCATGAGAGTTTAAATTGCCTCAACTCACTAGTGACATCCATTCTGGCCAGGTATCCTCTGCCTGAGATGTGCAGATAGAATCCACAGCTGCTCAGTAAGTTAATGTGGAAGCTGAGACCAAGCTGACTTGCCCCTGTGTCTCTTCTACAGCGCAAGTGTTGACTCCAGGCACTACCCATCTGCTGAGTCCCTTGCTCATAATCAACCCTAGTGCTTGTAATCATGCAGACAATAGAGAGAGCTGATAAGGTGGAGAGAGAGATAAGACCTAGAAACATAGTGTGATGCAGAACTCACATAGCATGGTTCTTTTAACCCTCTACCCTCTCTGGTGTCTTCACCACACCATATCTTTCTTCTTGAGTCTCACTCTGTTTTACATTGATTCGATTAACCATCAGCTTTGACAATTTCAGTTTAGTCTCTGAACCTTTCTATTCTGTGACCTCTGGGATAGTTCTCCTGGTTGTACACTGGAAGGTTACCATTGCATCAAGGTCATTTCCTTAAAACATCCTGCTTCTCCATCTCCAGTGTGGACTCTCGGCCTTGTTGTTCTGCCTGGGGAAGAACAGCAACAAGTAAGTAAGGATCCCAACAGGCTCCAGATACTACTGTTGAGCTCCTCACACTTAGAACCTCTTAGTGTCATCTAAGTCTAAACCACGAAGTGCCTCCTTATACTTGAGACTTTTAATTGAGTAGGCTAATTTTCTTTTCTTTTCTTTTCTTTTCTTTTCTTTTCTTTTTTTGAGATGGAGTCTCACTCTGTTGCACAGGCTAGAGTGCAGTAGCACAATCTTGGCTCACTGCAACCTCCGCCTCCCATGTTCAAGTGATCCTCCCACCTCAGCCTCCCAAGTAGCTGGAACTACAGGTGCCCACCACCATACCAGGCTGATTTCTGTATTTTTAGTAGAGGCAGGGGTTCACCATGTTGGCCAGGCTGGTCTCGAACTCTTGACCTCAAGTGATCTGCCAGTCTCGGCCTCTCAAAGTGCTAGGATTACAGGCATGAGCCACAGTGCCCAGCCCGAGTAGGTGAATTTTCTACATATAATCTCCTATTATTTTACTGTCTTTAGGTTGCCAGTTTTCCATTTTATTATTTTGTTTTAGTTTTCTTATTTATTTACTTTTTGTTTTATCATTACCAAACCCTATCAATGGAATTAAATTAGTTGTTAGCTCTCTAATAAAGGAATATGACAAAGAGTCCATAATTTTTTGCATCATAATTTAATCAGTGTACTTGACTGGGTACATGTAGTTTATTACAAGGAAATTCACGTACCCAACAAGGGGAAGCTGTGAAAGGCAAAGGATTCTTACATATTTAATATTTTTAAGTGTTTTCTTCTGTTGGGAAAAAGAATGGCATATTACCTGTAAGCCAGTTTTATAATATTCTATGCCATAGATTATTTACTCATGAAAATTAAGAATGGGATAAAAGTCATATCGATGGAATGTCTTCCCAATCTGAATAGTGGAGCTGAACTTTACAAAGGGATTTTCTACTCTTTTGTATAAATTAAAAGTTGATTGTAATTTATGAAATAAACTCATAATCCTGATTCCAAAGCTTGTTCATTTAATATTATTTTTATGACTAGTAATTTTGGTATTTTAGACCATTATTGAAAAGACTTATTTTAGGTTCCTGAAAATGTTCCTCCTAATCCTGTCCCCAGTCACCCAGTTCCCTTCTTCACAAGCACCAAATGCTTTTAGTTTCTTTAGTAGAAGAAATTCAATAACATAGAATGACTCAAGTCACTCAATAAAATTTAGTTTTTACACTATTCTTAGGCTTGGTGAGCATGAGAGGAAATAATTTAATCAATTTCCATCAAAATACATTTTAATATTTTATTATTAATAATAATTATTAAAATAGGTTAAAAGTTTTTTGATATGCAAAAGAATTTTCAAATTATATTTTTATATTCACTGAAACAGCTTGAGAAATAAATATTATGCTACTAACTGTGTGATTATACACAAGTGTCTTAGCCTCTCTGTGCATCCATTTCCTCATCTCATAAAAGTGAAAATAATAATAGTGCCTACATTATGGAGTTATTCTAAGGATTAAAACAATGAATGCATGTAAGATGCTTAGAATAATTGCCTGACAATCATTTGAATTTCCTCTTTTGTGAATTGTTCACGCCCTTTCTTGATTTCATATGACATGTTTATCCCTTTAAAAAAATAATAATACTATGCATTCACTATTTGTAACAGTTATAAACCAGTTGTAAATACAGCAATACTTTAAACGACATTGAATTCTTACCAAGTTCCAAGCATTCTGTAAAGCATTTTGCCTACATAATCTCATTTAATACTCCAAATAACCTTAAGAGTAGATATGATTATCTTCCTTTGATAGATGAGGAAAAGATTAGAATGATTTCTTTTTTTTTATTTTCTAGCTATGTGACCTTGGGGAAATTAATTTAAAGGGATAAACACATCATAGGGAAATCAAGAAAGGACATGAACAATTCACAAAAGGGGAAATACAAATGACTAAGTGCCAGGCATTATTCTAAGCACCTCACATGCATTCACTATTTTAATCACCCCTCAAAAAATGTCCTATTGGTAGTTATGTTAGTATTTTAAAAATTAATTTAGCAAGAATTGACTTCTTTTAAAACAAAAGTAATTTTCCTGTACCAGTTTATCTTATATAACTCTGCATATTCAACTCTTCTTTTATACTTCTCAATATATTATTGTAGCTTTATTCATAGGCCATGTACATGCTTTGGAAGATTATTCCTGGATATGTTATAAACTCTCCTTTTTTCTATTCAATAAAAAAATCCCCACCCTCTCTCATCATTTTTTCTTTTAGCTAGATATAACTTATATCTAAGGAAGTTATTGATTGTTGTAAATCTCTTATTATATCTCATCTATTTCTCTTAGTTCTAATCTTTTTTTATTGTTTTCTCATGCGGCTAGGTTATAATCAAATCATCTACAAAATGGCCATCATCCCTTTTGCCTTCTTAAAATGTTATTTTATTAAACCTTTATTCCTTTGAAAGTGTCATCTCTCAGGGGTAATATCCTTTGGGAGGATAAGGGGTTAGTTGACTTTTCTCAGTCACTTTAACTTATTAGCGCAAATTCACTCACCACATTCTTTCTAGGAGGATAATTAAGATGATGTCTGAACTGAGAAAGCAGAGAATGTAGTGGGAGAAAGAAAAAGCTGACAATTGTTTCTAGGCCTGCGGAGGTCAGATATGAGCAAAGCTGCTAAGCTTGGCTGGAGAAATACCAGAGTGTCCTTTCTTTTGCAATGATGATTAGGGAAGGCCCTGATCTCAAGCGACCTTTCCACTCATCACCCTGGCCCTTTCCCAGGTCTTGATCTGGCTACTGCTTCCACTTCACTTGATGACAAGAACCAAATGAGAAATGCTTTTACAAGGAGCTTGGCTCAATACCCGCACATTTCCTGAATTGCCCAGGGCTGCATGCTTGGAATATGAATAGTATAATATTCTGGATTTCATTATTACCCAACCAAATAATGAAGCATTTTCCTGCTCTGGAACTTAACACAAACAAAAATAAAGAACTTTATTACTTTTCACTCCAGTGATCTAAGATTTTTGAATTTTTTTTTTTTCAAAAGGTGCCAAAACTTAACAGAACAAGGAGATGACTGTAGTTAGAAGAATAACATTTTAAATATCTATAAATAAGTAGGAGAAATGTCTACTATTTGCAAACTCAAAACTTCTCTCTTGCTAAGCATCATATGGTTGAAAATAAGCAAGAGAAGAACGGACGAGGAGAGGAAAAGAGAGGAAGGGAGGAAGGAAAGAAAAGAAGTGGAAGAAACTCTTACATGCTAGTCATTTAAGTGACTTTTCCAGTCACATTTAATTCTCACATCTGTACTTTTTTTTTCTTTAATCAATATGCCCTTCTGCAAACCATATTCCTTAATATCTTTGAGGAAAAATTATTTTGGGGGTTTTCCAAATGGAAGTACCTTTCTGAAATCTAAATATGCCTGAGAAAATGATTACCTTTAGACTAGGTACTGCTTAGACTAAAGCTTAAAAACTTGCTTTTGGGGCCGGGCGCGGTGGCTCAAGCCTGTAATCCCAGCACTTTGGGAGGCCGAGATGGGCGGATCACGAGGTCAGGAGATCGAGACCATCCTGGCTAACACGGTGAAACCCCGTCTCTACTAAAAACACAAAAAACTAGCCGGGCGAAGTGGCGGGCGCCTGTAGTCCCCGCTACTCGGGAGGCTGAGGCAGGAGAATGGCGTGAACCCGGGAGGCGGAGCTTGCAGTGAGCTGAGATCCGGCCACTGCACTCCAGCCCGGGCGACAGAGCAAGACTCCGTCTCAAAAAAAAAAAAAAACAAAAAAACTTGCTTTTGGGCTCAAAGAGCTAAGACTTTACAAAGTAATTCAGGGATACCTTTTGTGATTATCCTTTTGGAAAATGAAATAAGATTAACACCATCTAATGTTTTGGAAATGTTTAGGCAGAAAATGGAAAAAACTAAAATATAAAGCTAGAAGTACTTATTTCATAATTAGATCCATGTGAACAATATCTGTGATTCACTTATTCGGCAGCCAGGTCTTAAAATTCTATATACTGTAAAGTAGGTTATTAGAAAAAAGAAATAAAATTAACATTATGCAAATATTTAACTGTAAACATTTAAATATAGAACTCAGTGAATTAATATCACTGTCTTAATCATACATTAGAACATATTAGGTTTTAAGTATCTTTCAACATATTTCTTGCGCAAGATGGTGATTTACACAAAATAAGTCAAAATAAATCTTGATTTACTTTCAAAAAATTATATTAATTTATACAGTGAGGTATATTTTGAATCAAAATAAAACCTTCTGTTTTTCACATTTTACCAAAAAAATTGTCGTATTCTGTATCACATAAAGCCATCTAACACCTTCCATCATTTCTGCTGTCCTGGTAATTCAAGCCACTCTTTGTTTAATGAAAATGGATGTTGGACACTTGAAACTCTCAGAAATAAAAATGCTCTTCAAAATGCAATTTGCTACTATTTGGGGCAATGAATGCCATACTTTCACCTTGAAGTTTGCTCATTAAGCACAGACAGAATTTGTGCCCCAGAATTATTTAGGTATTCATAATTACACAAATACTCTAAACATTTAAGTGTTATGTCAAACTTCTATGTTCTTTTATTTATGAGGTAACTCTCCTATATTTTGGTTTCCTTTCGTCAAATGAAGAATTTAGCTGGCTTTTCTCTGTGGTTACTGGAACTTATCTTCTAAACCCTTAAAACTGCCAGAGTGTTAGGAGTGTCTTTGATATTCATGGTGGGCCTCTGGAACCATACCTGAGTTTATACTAATGAGGTAACTCCTGGTAGGTTCTTTGATAGTTTATGCTAATTCAATGATTCACAGTGATGGTCAAGCCAGACACAAAGAAAGACCAACTAAATGATTAGAGAGTTAACGTTTTAAGCTAGGTGATACCAGTCCATCCTCTGGGAAGGAGAGCAG